ATTGTACGATCGTGACGAAGAGTTTCAAACCAAAACGAAAACGGAAACCGCCAAACTCCCAAGTTGCTTTTGCCGCACTGATATCGACACACATGCATATCACGTGCAAATACAATTATACTATCATCTATCGTATGGTACAAAAAAATAAGTTTTTGATTTAGTAAAAATTCGATACATGATAAGTTATTTTATTTTTTGACGATCAATGGTCACAATTAATTTGAAAGAAGATCAACGGTCAGAATTAATCAAGAGGACTATCCTATGTTATATGGACCTATACGTAGGTATATATATATTAATATATGTAAGATCCCAATATAATTACTCACTTGTATTATTATTATTATTATTATTTTTTGGGTTCAACGGTTAAGGTTATTTGGGTCAGTTTACGCGTACTTTAACTAATCTANTTTTTGGGTTCAACGGTCAAGATTATTTGGGTCAGTTTACGCGTACTTTAACTAATCTGTTCTCTTATCTGATTAAAAACAGATCATCTACTTCGAAACTAAGATATTCATGAAGGATAAAACACTTATGACCTGACTATAAGGAAAAAATATTAGGTGTAACTGTAATATCACGTTAGCAATGCCACGTGGTGTAAACGTCCACTAAAAAATAAATAAGTCCGCAAGTAAGTTTTACAAAAATTCATAAACTAACTAGTCACGTAATACATAATACCTCTATAATAGGAAATAAACCACATTTTATCCGCTTTATAGTTTTTCTATGAGATGGTTACACCACATCAACATTACTGATATGATATAACCGTTACATCTAATATTTAATCGGTTCTAAAAAATTACTAAAATTCGAATTCGGGACGATTGAATTTATTGTTCGTCCTTGCTACCATCTAATCTACTCCTTTGGATTACTCAATTATATTATCATGTAGCTAACTTGACACATTTTATTTGTAATTTAAATCAATATGTTTTCAGCAGAAAGCTTAGACTGAAATTTAAAATTATCTACACTAAAGTTTTTTTTTTAGTTCAATGGTCAGAAATGTTCTGATTAACTTACACGTATCTTAATTAATCTCTTCCTCAATTTAATTAAAAATAAATATCAAAATTATAATATTTTTNTTTTTTTTAGTTCAACGGTCAGAAATGTTCTGATTAACTTACACGTATCTTAATTAATCTCTTCCTCAATTTNTAGTTCAATGGTCAGAAATGTTCTGATTAACTTACACGTATCTTAATTAATCTCTTCCTCAATTTAATTAAAAATAAATATCAAAATTATAATATTTTTAAAAGATAAATCATAATGACGGGGTTGAAGTTGTTTCCATATGTAAATAGAATCGCCATCAGACCCCATCTTAGATCATCATTCCACACACATTCAAGCACGAAGCTTCGGAGTCATTACATGCCACTAACATCCACCACTTTTGCGACGTTTAACATTCATACTAATTGGTCATCAAAAAAAATAACACAAGCTTGCTATGTAAAAGAATAGGACACCCATTATTTTTTGAATCTTTGTTGACATCTCTTTTCAGATTAAAAATGTTAATTGTAATGTAATTTTATTAAATCATTCATGATATATTTTAGAAAAAAATTTATTCACACCCCCTTTAGACAAACATATCTTCAATGAGACCCTGTCTATTTCTAATTTTTATTAGGTATTAAAATTGAGTCAATTAAAAATTATATTTTTTTACGTATTAAAATGTGAGCCGATTAAAATTTTATTTGAGGCTAAAANTATAATGTAATTTTATTAAATCATTCATGATATATTTTAGAAAAAAATTTATTCACACCCCCTCTAGACAAACATATCTTCAATGAGACCCTGTCTATTTATAATTTTTATTAGGTATTAAAATTGAGTCAATTAAAAATTATATTTTTTTACGTATTAAAATGTGAGCCGATTAAAATTTTATTTGAGGCTAAAATTAAATTTTAATTAAATGAAATTAAATTTTAATCGGCCTAATTTTTGATACATGGAAAAATATAAATTTTAATCGACACAAATTTTAATACGTAAAAAATAAATTTTAATCAACTTGAATTAAATTTTAATAAATAAAAAAATATAAATTTAATCAGTTCGAAACGAATTTTAATCGAAACTAACAGTTCAAGTAGAACTCAAATCGGCTCGAATTTCAATATGTAAAAGATGTTTTTAATAGGCTCAAATTTTATCTAGAAAGATTGTTTTGGATTTATGTAGGGGTAGTTTTAGTATTTTAGATAATTTATTTTCATTATAAATTATGGATTAATAGTCAGGGGTGTCAGCGATGTTAAATATAAATTAGAAGAATTGTTAGTGATATTTTTAATAATATAGAGAGTGTCTTTGAAGATATGATAAAATAGAAAAGGTGTGACCAAAATATTTCCAAGAATTAAAATAACTGTAGCATTATTATACTTGGAATAACCCGTATATGAAAACAATTTATAATACAAAAAGTTGAACATTGATCATGCAATATTTATATTTAAGTAATAATAATTTTTTCTTTAGTTATATAATTTTAAATTAAAGTGAACAAAAAAAATGAGAGAGATAAGCGCGGATTAGTGATATTGTCTATCATTAGGTAGTTTGTTGGTCAAATTTTTTAACGCCGGGGACCCTATGGAGAAAATAAATTAATGCAAAAAAAAATCTAAAATAAAAATTGTATCAATCTTAATTTTTGTTATGTTTTTATGAGATGAGCATTTAATTTTTTAATTGTAATATTAGATAAATATAATTTAAAAATATAATATGAGGATCTAATATATTACGACTGAGCTTTTGGACCCACGACTAATATATTAAATCCCAATGCTCTCAAATTTGAGAGAGAATTTGNGTAATATTTATATTTAAGTAATAATAATTTTTTTTTTAGTTATATAATTTTAAATTAAAGTGAACAAAAAAAATGAGAGAGATAAGCGTGGATTAGATATTGTCTATCATTAGGTAGTTTGTTGGTCAAATTTTTTAACGCCGGGGACCCTACGGAGAAAATAAATTAATGCAAAAAAAAATCTAAAATAAAAATTGTATCAATCTTAATTTTTGTTATGTTTTTATGAGATGAGCATTTAATTTTTTAATTGTAATATTAGATAAATATAATTTAAAAATATAATATGAGGATCTAATATATTACGACTGAGCTTTTGGACCCACGACTAATATATTAAATCCCAATGCTCTCAAATTTGAGAGAGAATTTGATAATTATTTTGTATCTATCTTATAATTTTTCAAAATTGTAGTTTTTTTATAATTATAAGGCATATTTCACCCAATTAAATTATTAATATATATCCATTATTGCCAATGAAACTAATCATTTAATTTTTTTTTAAAAAAAATTCCTTCGCTTCATTGTTGAGTAATTTTCTAAAATGGGTAGTTTTCGAAAAAACAGAGTAAAATAATATTATTTTTGATGGTGAATCTCAGATGGACTCAGCTTTGCCACACATCTCAAATTATTTATACCAAACTGTTCTCCTAGTGAGACCCAAACATATTAGGAAATTATAGATTAGCCACATTACTTTGGAGGAGAAAGTTTAAAAGAAATTTTCAAAAGATAGTTTAAATAATAATAAAGAAGTATTGTAAATTTAAACGTTTTAAGTTGAAATATTGACAATTCCTTAGACTTAAGTTATTAGAGATTTGTTCGAATCTCAATTTACACTCTCAAAGATTAAAAATCTCAATTTACACCTTCAAAGATAGAAATTTGTATCAATGTGCACCCCCAAAAATTAAAAATCTCAATTTACACCCTTAAAGATAGAAATTTATATCAATGTGCACCTAAAATTAAATTGATAAATTATACCTAGATCCCCTCATATTTGTTACTTAATTATTTAGACCTTTTCACATTTAGAATATTACTCCTACATCTTATGACATTTGTGTACGTATAACACGTAACCCATTTTCATTGATATCTATTAATATAACAGTTAAAAAATATAATTTTATCCTAATAAAAAATTATAATTTCACATTACCCTTTATTTTATGGGTTCAATATATTCTAAAATTCAAAATCTAGTTTACTATTTGAATGTCTAATAAAATGTAAATATTTATATAATGTTTTTCATATTACCTTTTATATAAATATCTACATTTTGTTAGATATTCAAATGGTAAGCTTGATTTTCAACTTTAGAGTATATCGAATCCACAAAATAAAAGGTAATATGAAATTATAATTTTTTATTAGGATAAAATTATATTTTTTAACGATTATATTAATAGATATCAACGAAAAATAGTTATGTATTACACATGCACAAATGTCATGAGATGTAAGGGAAATATTCTAAATGTAAAGGAGTTCAAATGATTAAGTGANTGGTTATGTGTTACACATGCACAAATGTAATGAGATGTAAGGGAAATATTCTAAATGTAAAGGAGTTCAAATGATTAAGTGACAACATGAGGGGATCTATGTATAATTTATTAATTTAATTTTAGGTGCACATTAATACAAATTTCTATATTTGAGGGTGTAAATTGAGATTTTTTATCTTTGGGGATGCACATTGATACAAATTTCTATCTTTGAGGGTGTAAATTAAAATTTTTGATCTTTGGGGGTACAAATTGAAATTTGAACAATTTTTTAAGATACAAAATGAGATTAACCCTTAATTAAAATACACGTAATCAAGTCGTAACACCAGTTACNAAGGTATAAAATGAGATTAACCCTTAATTAAAATACACGTAATCAAGTCGTAACACCAGTTACCGTTAAAAATTTAAAGTTAATAGATAAAAATTTTGGACGGATAACAATTTAGTAGTCGTAATGGTATCGTGAACTTATCAACACAGACACACACGCCAGCGTTGACTCTTCAACATTGTTTGCCACGCACTTATACATAGCTCGTTTATGAATCCAGCATCACACAAACTCAAACCCTACACAAAACAAAACAAATTCAACAACAATGTCCTCTTGTTCTTCCACCACCACCACCACAAACCCCACCTCCACCTCCGATATGGCTAGTAACGCCACCGCCATAACAGACGTCCATCCAGACATCATCCGAACTCACATCTTGACCAAACTCGACGGCCCAAGTCTAGCATCCACTAGCTCAGCGTCCTCCCATTTACAATCTCTCTCTTCAGAAGATGAACTATGGAGAGAGGTTTGCAACTCCACATGGCCGTCCACCACTGACCCACTAGTCAGCGCCACCATCTCCTCCTTTTCCTCCGGTCACCGGTCATTTTTCTGCGACGCCTTTCCCACTTTTCGCCCTTTCTCTCGTCCGTCGCATCCCAATCGCCGCCCTTGGCCTTCGGTATTTGATCTCATCTCAGCCGTCGATGTTCACTATAAAAACAAGCTTGTGTTCTCCCAAGCTCATTTGACCGAGACTGTAAGCTTGTGGTTCCAGTGCTCACTGTTGAGGGTCGACCTTCTCGACTATAAAGAGACAGTGCCGACGCCGGTGAAATTCGCCGGTGATGAGGAGACTTGCCGGGCAGATTTGGAAGAACACATGAGCTTGAGCTGGATTCTGATCGATCCAACCCATAAACGGGCAGTGAATTTGTCGAGCTTGAGGCCGGTTTCGGTGAAGCGCCACTGGTTGACCGGAGACTTTCTGGTCCGGTATGCCACAATACTGGCCGGAGATCTCAACGGTGATCGGTGGGAATCGGTGCAGTGCAGTTTGATGGTGACTTGCGTGGGAGAGCAAGGAGGTGAGTTGCAGGTGAAAGAGGTGAGCATGCAGGTGGAGGACATGGATGGGATGATTTTGAGCGGGAATGACGGTTTGGTATTTTTGCAAGAGGCCATGGAGAGTGAGAGGAGGAAGAGGGGGAAGAGAGGGGAAGAGAGAGAGAGGTATGAGGAGTATTTGGAGATCAGAAGAGAGAGAACAGAGAAAAATCAGGGGAGAGAGTGGAGGTTGGACAAGGTGTTCATAGCCACCGGAATCATCATTTTTCTTGCCTTTTGGGCTTTTGTTCTGTAAAGATATTAAAAAAAAATTATTGTTTAGAGTTATGACAGTTAGGGTTTTTCTTTTCTTTTTTTTTTTTTGTTTTTTAGGGGGGGGGGGG